TAGAGGTCCGGCAATACCAAGGTTTTCCAACTTCAATAGTAGTCTATTTGTTGGCACCTTGTCAAAAGCCTTACTGATGTCTATGTAGACAGCATCCACTGAGTTCCCGTTGTCCAGTGCCTTTATCCAGGACTCCGTTGCTGTAAGGAGGTTCGTTGTACAGGATAGACCCTTTCTAAAACCATGGTGTTCGCTGTTTAACAAGTTATTTGCTTCCCGAAATGTCTTTATGGTCTGTTTGACTATTTTTTCCAATATTTTAACTACAACCCTAGTGAGGCTTACAAGTCAGTTCGATGGAAGTTGTCTTGGTCCTGTTTTATGTATGGGAGTAACGATTGTGTCCTTCCAGTCCATAGGCAACAAACCTTGGTCAAATGACATGTTGAGTGTCAAAGTCAGTGGGGCCGCGATATACTGTGCAATGTCTCGAGACTTGGGGGTGTAGTTCATCTGGTCCTGTTGACTTTTCCATGTCTAAGGTGCTAAGAGCCTCAAGTACGTCGTCTTGATCGAAGTCCAAGGTTAGCAGGCGGTTTTTTTGACTCCGTATTTTAGTCTGGTTCTTTGTCTCCAAAGTAGTGGGAGGAAAGTCATTTGACGGACGTCATCACCATGTGTGAAGACTAAATCCAAATGAGAACAGGAGCTTCCTAAGCCCTATCTCGTGGGATCTCTAATAAGATGGAATAAAGCTAATGCAAATGAGGTTTCTAACAGTTTGCAATCGAATGACGTTGTCGATGACCCTACTTCTATGTTTACTCAGTTTATATACGGTGCATTGCAGTCGCCTACTGTGAGACTATTACCCATAATACAACAAGACTTAAGTTCACTTAGGAGGAAGTCATCTACTACATATTCTGAAATGCGATCTACTGCAACTAATCTTGCCGCCCACATTTCAGCTTGTAACGCACCAGTTTACATGTCACTGAATCATGTGCTATCGTCTCAACTGCTCGTATCGTCCAGCTAAGTTTTCTGTATAGGACAACTTCGCCTTCCCTACGGTTAAATCAATCAGCACTACTGGACAAAATTCCAAACAAATGAATTTCATAATCTAATAATTCTGACGATAACATCTGCTATTTCGATAACCACTATTGCCTTGAGCTCCGCAATTTGCACAACCAACAAGATAGTGGGATGCAGCACCGTTTATATACAGCCGGTGTGATTCTGGTGCACACACCACTTATTGCAGTTATCACAGTACAGTTATTGTATCCCATCATCGACAGGGAAAGAGCATGTAGGGCTTTCATGACTATGTTTAATTTTCGTCATAAGTTTGTTTTATGTTTATAGATAAATAAAAAGATATGTCTGACAACAATAAAAAATCTGACTTCAGTACTTACAAAATGACCTGAACTCATATGGATACAAACAATACTAAAAGATATAATCAGCGATGAAGAATAAATACCAGAGCCTTTAGCGCTTCTGTATCTGTACGCGTAAAGTACAGACAACAAAATCACCAGAGAAAAACTGGTATTATTGTGGATTACTTAAACTGAAGTAAATTCAATCTAGGCAAAAACAGATGTCATGATCAATACTATAGAGCACACTCAGAGAAAAAATACCACAATCCTATTCGAAAAGCGCGAAACTCCCGTGGCAACGTATTTGTATGGGTAGTGACCTACTTTTATGAAGAGAACGCGACTGGTATAATGGAAACAATTATAGTTATAACAAATTGTACCAGCGATTGTCCTACTGTACCTGTTGTTTAACTGTACTAAAACCTTACCTTCTTCCGTTAACAGTGGCTTCGTACGCTTTCGTTTACGCTACGTAGCCCCGTTTGTACTATTTAACACGATCTCGTTATTATTTCAATACCACGGGATTGCCAACAAATATATTCTATTACGACAGTCAATTGCCTTTTGGTTTACGAAAGGATCAAAACTAATATCTGGTACGTAAACTTCCTGTAGTAGTGATCATAGTCAATCGCGACGCCTACTACATGTGGATTAATGATTCCTCGGTACTCAGTATGTGCAAGATTCCAAATACAATACTTTTGTTTGTGCTCACATAGTTCTGTGTGCCTTAAATTGCGTTATTATGGGCTTTCTTATTTCGTATGTTTATTCGAATGCTTCCAATAATCATATTGGCGTCGCGATTGTGCCCCAGAGAGAACAGTTAGGCATACAAACTCCGAAGCTTTTGACGATATGATGGGAAGTTTGTAATTTCGAAGTATATCGATGGGGGTGTTAAAGATGATAAAATCGTCGCCTATTACTTCTAATCATAAGGAAGATTATGTACTATTTATAAAGAACTCAGATATTTCAAGAAAAGCTTATCTCACTTGTCTATGTAATTGTCAGGGAACTGCTATTGAATATAGTAAGGTGTACTAGCTCAGAATGTCGCAAGAATGAAATTTTGTGGGAAGACTCGTCAAAATAACCATGTTAGGAAATTGACCATTATATTACAAAATAAAAGCTGCTAAATACAATCTCGGTAGTCAAATTAGTGTTCAGCTGCGTGATCAATCGATCGCAGGAATGAGGGCTGTGACAGATGGTCTAGATATTTCTCTCAACATACAAGAACGGCGTTTATTCTAAGTAAATCTAGCTCACGAGTGCTCAAAATAAATCTAGAGATGGACATCTATGGACACATGAACCGATAGTCCATCAATGTGCACAGATATTTCGATAGGATCGGGTAAAGTAACGAATTCGTTATTTTCTATAGAAGCATAAGAAGTAATGATGCACTTTCTTGATTATTATCCTGCAAGTGCCCTGACACATGAGTGGAAAAGACCTTGGAAATTTTTTTAGACGGCACAAGGTTCCATACATGATATGAGGGACAAATTGGACGATCCTTATGAAAGAATAGGGGGAAATATAAGTGGTCGTTCCAACCTTTATTTTTGCTGTTATTAATTTCCCGATGTGCATTGTCTTATCTGTTATTTGCTACGTCGACATTGCTCGTAAATTAGTGCTTTATTCCGCACCATTATTCAGAGTCTTTGTCGAAGTCCGCGGTTGATATGTAGCGAGGATTACACTGTCGTTGGCCCTGACGAGGATTATTAAACTGTCCGAAATTAAGTGATTTGATTCCCGTACTAAAGACGACTAAGCTTGCATCAACTAATTAACATGTTTATTCCTAACTAATTTTGGTGCTATATATATATATCAAGAAATTAAATGTTACTTTAAATCCATTAATTTTCACACATCTATTTTCCGGGATTTTATAATTATGCGTGGAATGTTGGGTGAGCGATTACGGATTTGTTATATTCAGAGTTAAGACTATGAAGGCTTACAAAAGACCTCCAGAGTAGCTAAGATAATGAAAGTATAGACTCAAGAACTATTTGGATTTTCGTGGCAGTCGTGATTACTAAATCAAGAGCACGAAAAGCAAATATCTAGTGACCAACCAGGGTAAGTGAGTACGGAGGATCCACCTAGAGAAGTTGGGAAATCTTGATTTCAAACCAATGGTGCTCAGTGATTCAAAGGAGATAAATGGTAATATGAACCTATTCTCAATAACTGGCTATCATAGGACTGTATTTCCTAAAATTGATCTACTGACTTGTGGATTAGACCCCTAGGTCAAAGGCTCGGAGTGAAACTTCAGGGAAACCACCTATTTGGTTCAGGTAGTGTCCGAGCCCACTCACAAAATAAATGGTGACTACGGCTAGAAAAACTATCCACGCTCTAATTTTCTTTCTCGCAAATCATACTCTAAACCATTTTTTAATATCCGACATTTTATATTGCGTCACTTGTATACACTTTTATTCCCACTTTGTATACCTCTTTATACATCAACTCCTACAGCAGCTCACCAATGGTGGAAACCCTGTTCTGTTTAAACGATCTCAAGTTACTGATAAGTAGAAAAGTGAATGCTACCACCGAATACAGATTCTGAACCAGCCTTTTTGAAACCACATATGCCATTCAAACTGGCCTCCAACGTTCGCACGCTAGTGCAGAACGGGAAACGAATAGGGTTTCTTATGTCTTTAGAAAGTCTCAAAATCAACGTCTGTTGTCTGTCCGAGAACAATATTCGAGACCCTCGTGAAGTACTGTAAATTCGCTCTCTTTCACCTCGAAAAACTCGTTCCACGTGCGTTTATTCGGAGACACTGGCGCATTCGTCTGGTTTTGGTGGCGCGGGTGCCACACTATGCGCTAGAGTCGAGGCGGCACTAATCCACTGGACCCCATTTGAAATTGGTTTTGTACTGTTGAAGTAGAAAACTCCGTCAGTGTGAGGAGAAATCGTATGAGAAATGATGTCATATCGTCATCTACACCTACGCTTCAACAGATTACTGGCAGGATACGATCAGGGATAATCCCTACCACTAGCTGGGTGTTCTCCTATAGGGAAGTGCGTTCGACAGATATTGTGGTGCTAGCCGGAGACTTGAATCCATAGGTTGTGTATCTAAAGACAGGGACAGGACTAGCACTTGTTGGTCCTTCACGACTTTCTGATTGTGGTCTTACAGATGGGGAAACACACTAGCTTGTAACGTTATCGAACATGCCTCAGAACGGAAGCTAGTGGCGATTCTAATGTAACTTCCTTCAAAAAAGTGAGTAACTTGTCTGACCGAAAGAATTCTTTCTGGTTGTTTTTTTTAACTGCACTGCTTCCAGTCACTTGTTATTCATCATAGCTTCCTTTCTCTATACGTATGCAATCTCATTTATTATCGTGTGTTGTATATATGTTTTAGTGACTCTTTGTCTTAGTATTTTTGCATGAAATAAAGAAATTATCAACCTGATGTTTGAACAATCAACTTAAAGATTTTCGGATTCGACTAACAATGTCAAGCGCACGTCTAGGTTGCAAACATGTTAGTCTCCACAGTTGAAAAAAACGACCATTCACAGCTTTCACTATAATAGGTGAGCAGTAATTTAGAAGGACGACAATAGTTTCTTATTTTATTATTTATCCGTTAACCAAAATTGACTGAAAAATGAAGCATGAATAAATATGAAAATTAAAAAGTATAGATTCAAAAATTTTCAGTAAAATTGGTATTCCTGACTTAACTTTTTCGCTCATGAACGATACTTTTCTCCGACGTACTTGCTACCTAACAAAAGAAGAAATTAGTTGTCAAAATTCATCCCGATTTTGTTAAATTGAGATCGTTGTATCTTAATAAATAATCATAGCAGCTATAATGCACATATTCGGCTGCTTATCGCCACCAGTTCAGTGAAATTATTATGATCAAACACCCATTATCCATAATTGTACATGCAAACTGTATCATCAAGTTTGTATAATGGTAGACTATACTAACGTCACATGATGAATTCCTTCACAACCCATTAGACGTTAGTTCTCAAAGATGTTTAAAGGCTCATACAGCCATTGTATATGCTCGTATAGATGCATCAAATTCAGTGAAAGTTACTTCAAGATACGTAACGGTTGTTGTGTACTACTTAAGGCGAAAGATGTCCTGGAATTTGAGCAATCACACTGAATCCGCAGAAATTAATTACGATGTGTTGTGATATTTCCTATGACATCTAATCCGAGGCACACTTCTGTACCATTCTTCAACTTGTTTTCAAATAAAATACTTATCTATTTTTAGTTTTGTTCCTTAATCTTAGTGTATGAATTCTGTGAGTTTCGATTGAGATGTTTTGAATGTTGTTATTCTGGGTTAAACGATAACTACACACTTGTACTCACTAAATTTAAGACAGGCACCTGAAGTTATCCTTTTATATATTTAGCTGCTTTTTTAAAACAGGCGATCGACAGACGAATTTAGTGACCTATTAAGTGTGTGATAATATTTTCGTGTAGTTACGAGCACCAGGAATCTAGCTAATCGGTTAAAGCTAATCAGCTTTCTCAAGTATGTTATCAGATCGACAAATAATTCTGGCTGTTTGGTCACTAAAACGAAATCAGCTATAAGACAGATGAGAGTTTTGGATAACATGAAAATGATACAACCCATCTGTTCTGTATCTTGCATAAACTGGATTGAGTTACGGATTATAACCGGTAATCGTAATACCTGACCTTAGAAATCAGGTTAAGTAAAGTAACGTTTGAATTTATGACCTATTTCTGATCATTTTAATACAACAACTGTGGTGGATGCAACTTATGTTAGTAGGTACAAGTAGTATGTAGCTGCAATCTGAAGTAGAATGCCTGCCAACAGGTTAAATTGAGAACAGGAAGGGGAATAGAGCTATTTGAATAACTAAAGAATTGGAAGAATCATGTAATTTGTAAGGGATAACTGAAAGATGTGCAAATCATGTATTTAGTGTATTATTTTCATATTTTGCTAAGCATCTGTGTAATTTGCACTAAATAATAAATTGGTTTGCTCCACCTAAGTGTTCGTTCACTGTGAAACTGTGCTATAATTTATAATGAAATTCAGATTCGATCACTTGTAGGTTTTCATGTTTGGCTTGAAAAGTTTCACATAGAGCAGTAACTAGTCTAACCGCCTGCGTTGCCTAATGCTGATAATTACATAAAGGTAATGGTTAAAATTTAAAATTATAAACAATTAATATTTTCCAGAGAAAAGATCTTGGGATTATTTCCAAAACGTTTCCGTGACTAATATGGAACTGAAGATCATACATGATGACTCCGTGCTTTTTCAAAGCTGGAAGTACAAAGTCACATTATTTTTTGTGAACTATGTTGCTTGTAGAGGTTTTGTGTTATATTTAAGCCTAGATTCTAGAATACAGTTGCTAACAAGTCAGTATCGTGTTTCAAATAATCATGGGTTATTCTCAGTATCTTAAATTACAGATTATGTCAAAAGTGGCACATAATTCGAGTGTCAAGATTGGAGAGAAGTATGACTTTCAGATTACAGACATTATGATTTGTGGCATTTCGTAACAGGTTCTTATAATGATGACGGTGGTGAGATCCTAAACACGGATGAAGTTGTATATTAGTAAGTACTGAAGGGACCTCATACACCTTAAAATTGGTTTAGTAAGTTTAAATATTTGATATTAGACAAAAATGAAATTGTAGAGCATTAAATCATAGACCAACATACTGTTAACAGCTTTTGCAACTATATGAAGAGTGATTCCACACAAACAGATGACGAAGCCAATCATATTAACGAAAGATATATTATCTCCATTAAATTTTGCAGCAAGGTACAAAGTACATACTTCCTGAAATTGAAGACAACGTATTCGTAAAATGTGCGGAATAAAACGATACTCTCTGATTGGAAGAATAAGAACCTTTACGTACAACAAATAACCTCTGTCTCATATATATATGAATCAGTTAGTAAAACAACTTTAATATTTATTACCTTTAAGAACAGGCTAAACAAAATTACGACTCACTGAGTGCATGTACCTTGCGGATGCCTATTTTTCATTGCTTAGACTTGACGATTTCGTAAGTGCTCATTTACTTAAATAACAATTGCATCGACTGTCTGTCCTACTCTTGGTGCCAACAGACTTGTTGACAATACTCTCTTCACCCATCGGTTAATTACATGACAAGTTGTATGCCCTTGCTCATGTAACTGATCTGGTTCATTACCAACAATCTTAACCAAAACCGTTGAGTTTCACGTACATACATTAGCAGTCCGGCTCTTGATAACCAGACAAAACCGCTCTAAATAAGCAAAATATATCAGACCTAAAAAGGAAGTTAGTACACACGGATATTTCCTATTACCATATTTGAAAAAACCAGTACTATGTAAGTTGATTAACAAGAAAGCGGATGTCCTCAAATTTGTGATAACTATTTAGTAACGTTCTTCCCATTGGTAGCATCAATCATAGTAGTAAGGAAATCAAACGATATTATGTTCAGTATCCTAATGAACTTATTGCAACTGTGGTACATCTTCAGTTTTCAATACCAGTTGCCAGAAACTTATTAGCTAGAATACGTAGTGTAAAGTAGCTCGTAAGCCTTAATTTACAGGAAAAAAAGCATACATCCCGCCAGAGTGCAGAGAACTGTTTGCTATGAGTACACATAATAAAAAAGTTTCCAGTATAACCGATTTCTTTGTTATTATTATTATTATTATTATTATTATTATTATTATTATTATTATTATTATTATTATTAACCACATTATTCACCCTCTTTCTACTTATACAGCGACTCGTCTTTGGTGGAAATTCGACTCTATCTAAACGTTCTCTAGTCACTGTCCTTCACGACTCTCTGGTTGGGGTCCGAGAGATGGTGCGACACAGTGGCTAGAGACGTTATCAGATATGGCTCAGAATAGAAGCCAGTGGCGATCCTACTGTAATCTTCTTTTACTTTCTTCATAAAAAGTGGTTGTGTCTCCCTTAACTGAAAGATTTCTTCTGATTGTACCTTTCCGTTCCCTCATTATTACTATAATTACACTATCCTACACCAATCTCTTCGTTATTGTTCTATTATTTTCACGCTCCTTACCTTTTTTTTTCTTTATTTCTCTTCGAATTCTCTTTATTTGGCGTGGCGCATATATATCGGCTCTCTCTTGTACCAATATTTATGTGTTCAAATAAATAAATAATTTCCACATCTGAATAGTCTTGGAAAAGTACATGGAGAAACAACGCAATAAAACGTTTCTACAAATAAATATTAGGAACTAACCTTAAATATACCAGCAACTGATAAAGTCAAACTTGAAGTAGAACCAACAACTAGATACTCTGATATTTCAAGACCGAATGCTAACAAAGCTCCAGTACCTAGTTGGACTAAGTCGCCTATTAACTGATCAAATGCATCAGTGCGAAAAAGATTCTTTGCTGTTATGAGTTCAAAACCTAGGAAAGTTATGATGAAATAAATGACAGTATTATTCGACCGAAAATTCCCAGAATATTGGAAACACAGGTATATGAACGAACAATATTTTCACAAATAGTCACCAAGTTCTATAATTTTAAATTATGCCCCGAAGGAATATGGTAAAAAAGTGAAAAACATCTCCTAAGAGGACCTGAAAAGTATGTTTATAACATCTCAATTACTAAACTAAAGAAAAAAATTGGATACTAACATTAATTTTGGAAATCTAAATAAATAGAAATGACTAGAGATCACTTTGAAACTACCCCGTAAACAGATTGTCAAGCAAAGTGCAGAAAAGTATTTCAGTTCTCAGACAACCAAAGATTGAAGCACCCGAGAACACGCTACTTCATCTTTGAGTGCGACATAACAAATAACAGATGTTTTATCCATGGAAACATTAAATAATCATTGCTTACTTCTGTTACTAAACGTGGAGGAGCATAAAACGCTCACCAGGATTCTCAATCGAACCCTGCACTGTGTTATCCTTTCCGGTTGCTATTATTTCTTTTGATGTCAGCTTCCGAATCCCCGTGCACAATATTCCGTGCTTCCCTTCGGATATCGAGATCTTCATAATCCAGTCACTCAGCAGCAGAAAGAGTCTTGTCTGACTCCAGTCCTCACATGAAATGCGGCTGTCAACCGTCCCCCATGCACCACTTTGCAGTGGGGTCCGTCGTATTAAATCCGGGCTATGTTAACGATCTAAATCAAATCATAGCGCAGAAGAAGTTTCCAAAAGATCCTCCTGTCCACACTATTAAACACCTTCTCATAGTCGATGAAGTTGTTGTAAAATGCTGTGTCTCACTACAGTAATTGTTCAACGATGATGCGTAGTATTTCAATTTGATCTGCACACGACCAGTCTCTTGATCCCTACCACTTTCGTCACAACGTCATACAGTTGTTTCATATATTCTTCTCTTGCAGCTTTTTACGCTGTCACTGCTAGGTCTTCCATGTATTTCTTCTTGTCGGCGCTAATGCTCTTCTTCACTTGCTTGTTTGCTTCGGTGTATTCATCTTGTGCCCTGACTTTCTCTGTTTTTGTTCGGCTGTTGTTAATTGCTGTCTTCCTGAATTTTGTGCAGGGTTTCCATAGAGATCCATTCCTTATGATGATGCTTCTTTCGGCCCAGGACCTCCTGACACGTTAAAGTTAATGCTTCCTTGATACCTTTCCAGTTGTCCTTCATATTAGTTTGTTCTTTCAGTAGATCCTGTAAGGCCTGGAAGCTGTTGTTGAGAGCTATCTTGAATTCGCCGAGTTTGTCAGTATCTCGAAGGAAGGCTGTATGTTCTCCGGATACAGTTGGGTAAGGAATATGTTGAGTAATACTCAAAACGAAAATGGTAGCTCGGGGACGTTCATGGTAAGCAAAGAATTTTTTTAGGCGACCATAACTTAGGGGTGACACACCCAGTGAAATGCTAATGATGCGATTATGCTGAACGCTTCACAGAACGCTCAATACGGGAAAGCTGCAACTAATATTTTCTAAGCGTCAGATAACAACTATGAGATTGATGGAAAAATTACCTAGACCAGTCATATCTTTGTACCAAACAGTACAACTGGTCTTATGGGGTAAGCTAAATATCCTAGATATTCACATTCCCGTGTTAACAAACACACCTCAGGATGGTTAAAAAATCTATTTAAAATAGCCAACAGTCCTATCCTCGTCTAATTGTTACTAACGATACAGTCAGCGTGAACAAGTTTACAGTGATTTGTAGTGTTAGTAGTTGTTTATCAAAGTATTTGCGACCTACCTTCATCTAAAAAAATAAACAGTACTCATGCGCGTTGACAACCGGAGCTTTGTATACAAAAGAAATAGGTTCACCTTTTTTTATCATGTAAAAGCTCAAGCCACAGAAGTCAACGTGTATCCTAACTGCAGGATGAACAAACTCAAATAAAGCAAAAAATAGCTCTCCTCTTTGTCTCCATATGTTAGATATAACCTACTCAAGCATAACCGATATTATTATTCACATTTCTTTTTAATATAATAGACCTTCGAATAAATGAAGAATTTAATTGGGAATTACTTCATCTTAAACTCTATATAGAAGTTACATTATTACTTCCGTCACCTTATATTACCTAATTTTTACAATGATTACTAATCACACAACTCCAATTGACGTATTAACTTATTTCAGTTAAAATAGGATAGTAGACGTTTCAAAAATTGCATCTCATTTCAAAAACAATTCGATGTCATGATACTACCATTTAAGTCGCACAAAAAGGGAAATTCAACCTGATTTTCTTGAAGAAATTTACCCTAATAGATGGAGTAACCAATGTTGTAATATATACTGATTTATTCGAGCGCTTAAATAAACCGACAATTATAAGACCGATGACAGAACATTTTGCAGTCAGTGGAGCTTTATAATAGAATAGTGATGACTTCACGGTAAAATCTGAACACCTGCACCCCGTACTTGATACCAGCAAGTTAACAAGTAATATATGTTACACAAAAGAACGGCATCATATAGCATGTACAGATTTATTTTCAGTCACAAAACGTACTGTCGCTGACCAGCCTAAAAAGCGTCTTGTTTAGTTGGTAGGTAGGTTACCATATAATATTTGAAGATAAAAAGTGTAAACGGAATACACTCATTAAGACATTAAATAAAAAAGATTAGTCCAGCAAAGAGTTCTCTTTTCAGCGAATTCATTTTCAAAGCTGTACAATTTCAAATACATATACTTATTTTTACAGGATGATAATAATACTGATAATAAACTTCTGTTATACATGGTGACAGTAAGGTTAATTTTGGTGGTGTTTTGTTCTCTGAGCTGGATGGTTTGGTCGTGGAGCTTTCATCGTTCTTCCGAACGACATCATCAGCACAAACTTCAGATAGAAGTAAGGTTAAATAAACAAAGGTATTAAAAAAATTTAAAACAAGGAAAGTTTAATAATCGTTTGATTGTTAATGGCTTAAGTATTCATCAAAAGATAGATAGGTAAATTATCATTGGGAAAGGGTGGTTCAGCATGATAAGATAAAATGTTGAAACAGAGATTAAATGTAATCGGAATGATCACGATCATTTGAAGGAACTATTACTACGTCGCACTTGCAATGTACAGTTCACATTCAACGACGTAATTTAAAGACAGAAGGATGGCATAGCAATGGGATCCCCACTTGGTCCATTACTGGCAGATTGCTTCATGGCCAGTTTAGAAAATAACCAACTCAAAACAATTATGGAAAACCTCCACTTGTATAAAAGGTACGTAGATGATATCTTTATCATTTGTGACAACAAATATGACTTAAAATATCTCCTAAAGGCATTTAATAATTGTCACCAATCAATAAAATTCACACTTAAAGTTGGAAACAAACAAAATATTCATTTTCTTGATGTGGAAAGGACAAGAAAGAAAAACGGTACTTCAAAAAGATCTATCTACAGGAAGCCCATGTGGAATGGCCAACTATCAAGTTTCCACAGCTGGGTTCCCATCAGCCGAAAAAGAAACTTAATAATAACACTCGCTACAAGAATACGAAGAATCTGTAGCTCCCAAGTCGTATATGAAGAATTGGGCCTCTTTAAGGAGATACTTATCAAAAACGGTTATTCTTCGATATTCATTGATAAGAACATGAGGTCGAAAACGCTAAAAACACAAAAAATTGCAGTAGAAAAGAAAACGTTACACATGAATATCGACTTCAAGGGTGATAGAGCCACATACATCTTAAAGAGGAGAATTTCGGATTCGTTAAAAAGAACAATCTTCGCAGCAACATTGAGAATATTATTCTCCAGCCGATCATTGCTCACCAATAATCTGAAAGATAAATTATCGTATCTGACGAACTCAATGTGCATTTACCAATTTACCTGCTCTTGTGGAGCTAGGTATATAGGTCGTTCGATGTTTACTTTATCCAGAAGAATTCAAGAACATTGTCCGGCGTGGCTAAAAAGATGAGGCAACGGCTCAATAAGAAGTTCTATAATCGAACACCTTGTGAACACAGGTCACTCAATCAAGACAGACTCTGCGTTCAAAGTCATCTACAAGGTGAGTAGAAGTCTTCCTAAGACAATTAGACTGCATCTTCTTTGCATTGCCGAAGCAATAGCCATATATCTGGAAAAACCAGGATTGTGCGTGCAAAAGAGACTGATACAACCTCTTCTTTTACCATGGTCTTAATGTATTAAACTTTTTCTCTTTTTCATACTCTAGTTCCTTTACAGCCACCTGCTTCACCTTCCATCTTCCCCTTAAATCTTTTACCCCCAACTGGCTTGTTTTTATTTCCACGATCATTCCGATTACATTTAATCTCTGTTTCAACATTTTATCTTATCATGCTGAACCACCCTTTCCCAATGATAATTTACCTATCTATCTTTTGATGAATACTTAAGCCATTAACAATCAAACGATTATTAAACTTTCCTTGTTTTAAATTTTTTTAATACCTTTGTTTATTTAACCTTACTTCTATCTGAAGTTTGTGCTGATGATGTCGTTCGGAAGAACGATGAAAGCTCCACGACCAAACCATCCAGCTCAGAGAACAAAACACCACCAAAATTAACCTTACTGTCACCATGTATAACAGAAGTTTATTATCAGTATTATTATCATCCTGTAAAAATAAGTATATGTATTTGCGATTGTACAGCTTTGAAAATGAATACGCCGATAAAGAGTGTGGCAAACGTTTTTGATGCTGACAGTGCTATGTGTGGTTAAATAAACAACTGACTTTTTTTTAACTGTTTAAATCAGAGGTATTCCAAAAGAATGACAATTCCTTATATTCTTAATGTTTGTTGATTATCTTGGATTATTTATTTGTCGAAGGATCCTTAAACAAAACTACGACGAAAAACGACATAATCTTGTTAGATGTTGCTATGAAAAAAAATTTTTAAGGGAGCATAAAAATTTCGCGCATTTCCCGAGAATTCTACAGTTGTCAAATAATGGTTAGATCTTCAGGAATAATTTTCATTCATTGGTTTAAAGTCAGATAATCGGACCATTGTATCCAGTGCTTTCCATGTATAAGGGGTCGAGTTAGCTTTGATAGTAAAACCGGTTTAAAAACAGTCCCAAAACCTGTGACGTAACTAATATAAATAAAAAGCAATACAACAAAGCACTTCCAGATAGTAATTTTTTGAGACATCTTTTCCTTGTCTGTTCCAGAGCTATTATCCTTCTTACAGATGTTTCTATCCGGTTGGGGGCAGTGGTTAGTCGAAATGATGCAGTGATTTTATATGTTCTACAACATACTGAGCTGCAAATCACATCAATAAAGATAGGATTATTGGCCTTACGACTCCACGTTCAAAACTCCACAACTACTTGGGATAAGGGGACATTTTATATATTTCAGAATAAGTAGCATAGAAATCATTAACAATAAATATTACCCACCACACAGTACTGAAAACTTCAGTCATTACAAAGATAAATTTAGTTTGTTTTTAACGAACTTAAAATTGTCTAAAAATTATTGGGATTACACAACAAGAAAAGTGATATAATGGATCCAATGGTAAAGTAACTTACCTTCGATGTAAAGAGAAAGGGGCAAAATAGCCAGTGCCATCCATGGTTGTGAGTGGAACATAAAATCAATAGGATGAGAAAGACCTACGAAATAGGGATAGTTCAGAAGCATTAAAGTATGACTAGGCCTCTAGCAAAAATCCAAGAATAACCATTATTCTTCGTTCCAACGGCACAATTGTTACATTGCACTACATAAATATGACTACGGTCGAAACTAATTACGGATACACAAGTTTCCAACCAAACCCATAGACTTATGAGTTCAATTTCGATTGGATAAACGTATAACTTGGGATCTAAAGCAGATAACTCCAGTCAAGTGTATATACACAAGCTCTCTTAACATGATTTGGAAAGTGGTAAATCATTTTAAAAAGTTACAAAACTATGAATGGATCATACTAATGTTTCAAGAGTGTTACTGAACCGAATTAAAGATTCAGTAGTCGTCCAACTTCTAGATCGAAATGCTGGCTTTCTTAATAACCACCCATCCATAGACTGGATCGCGACACTGCTAATCATTGTTGAGCAACCAAATGAATAGTACTCATCACTATGCAACAAGTTCCTCGATTATGGGAAAGCGTTTCATAATGTAGATAGAAAAACCCCGTGAAGATCGTCACCATTATACGAACGTCTATGAGGAACTCCACTGCAAAACCATGAATGGAAGACAACTCACAGATACATTCCAAGTGAAGATTGGTGTCAAATAAGGCTGTCTACTCTTGCCTTTTCTCTACTTACAAGCTGCCAATTGAGTTATGAAGACTTTTATATATCCGGAAAAGCGGAGAATAAAGAAGACGTCTTGGACGAATCTGGATGATTCGGACTCTGTTGATGACTTGGATCTGCCATCATATACACAGAAACAAGTGCAGAATACAGACAATGTAGCGGTGCCTCTCGTGGAACTAGACTTCAGCATTCACAAGGAAAAAAGGCAGGATCACGAAGTATAACACCACGGTTGCCAACCAAATTACATTTGTGAAAGTTCTAGGATACATGGAAGTCTTGATGCACGTGGGTAGCATTAAAGACAAACAAGGCGTGTTTGATGCATATATGGGAGGATAAACTGACAGAGCAAGAGGAGCATTCCTAAATTGATGAATATATGGAACTCCAATGAACTGTCGCTCAACACCAAAATCAGAATCTTTACCGATAACATCAGAACATTTCTACTGTATGGAGTTGAAACTCAGGTAACTACCACAGCCACCATCAAAAAGGCACAGGCATTTGCAGGCAGCTATCTACGCAAGATACTTCAGTTTTACTATTCTGACGGGGAAAAGAGCAGCGGTCAACCAAAAAGGAAATTAGGTAAAGATTCTGAAAGCGGATAGACACTTCGAAAACCGTTACACTGTATTACAAATTGGGCCGTAAGTTGGAATCCCCACGGCAAGAAAAAAAGAGTCAGACCAAAGAACATATGGGGTTGGTAATCGGAGGTAGAGACTAAGGCAATGAACAGCGCTTAGGAAGGCCTAGTACATAGCCGCTACCTTGACGTGGTGGTTGAGTTTGCCTATCGTGGCTGGAATATATGTTCCTGTAGGTTCTACCATGCCAGCCTGGTCGGCTGGAGAACGGTAAGACTAAAAGTAGCAAATCAAGGTCTGGGGGCGAAGACGTACTGTTGACTGTAGAGAGGTGTGACAGCAGTAAGGTGTTTCCCTCGGACAACCAGCATCTGCAGCGATGCTGCCTTCTCACAAGAAAGGATGAGTTAGAAAAGGTCGACCCTAAAAATGCCACACCTCACGGATTTCCGTCTCCGGCGGTAATGCCCTTTGAAAAACGGAGCTAACACATTAAAGACCTCCCGATAAAAGGACGTGCGCGACCGACCTCAATTAGTTGTCCCTTGTGCTCTGTGATCACCCTCCCAGGTCGTTAAGACCAACACTAATCCGACTTCCTTTTCAAATTCCTCAAGAAATACCCTCCCACGGTGTAGGCAGCCGGGAAGTGATATCAGCCTTCATACCCGTAACAACACACAAGACCAAGTCGGTCACGTTCAAATCCTTCCTACACCTCCAAACACATCTCTTATCTCCACACTATCCCTTCTCACGTTCCTTTATCACCTCGCACCGCCAGGGTAAACAATTCAAGTACGCGGACGTTATTCCTGGTCTAATGAAACCACGCTCCAAACTACATGTAGGAGCTTTTGACGTCCGAACACTGTGCCAAATAGGACAACAGGCTTTCTTAACTAGGATTTAGAATCCCGCTTCATCAATGTATGCTGCATCTCCGAAACACGTATACAGGACCTGAGAAGCGTCATTCATTTGGCCTCACCATATCAAAATAAAGAACCAACTCGATTCACGCTTCGTGTGTCTGGAAGTTCCGATGCTGCTTCCAGTGGCCTCGCTGGTGTAGGTATAGCATTGGGTCGTAGGGCAGAACTAGCCCTCTTAAACTGGATCCCAGTAGATAGTCGTTTGAGCGCTGTCCGATTAAACGGAACAGTAAGGACTCGGAAAGATAGGGACACTCGTCGTTGCCTCTTCGTTGTCTCTGCCTACTCTCTCACTGACTGTAGCTCACATGATGTAAAAGATGATTTTTACAGAAAGCTTTCCGACATTCACCGAAAAGCCAGGCGCTCTGATGTAGTAATAGTGGCTGGTGACTTCAACGCTCAAGTAGGTAAACTTAGCGAAAGGTAAAGACATTTGGGTGGACCTTATAGCGTAGTGACTCAAAGAACAGATAATGGCGACCGTCTGTTGCAGCTATGCTCAGATAACCGCTTGTTCCTAGCAAATGCTAACTTTAAGCATAAGGAAAAACATCTTTTGACATGGCGACCCCTAATTCGTCCCAACGTCGGACACAAATAGATCACATCGTTATCAGCTATCGATGGAGGGGCTCAATAGAAGACTGTCGCTCGTGCTGAAACACATGTTTTGATTTAGATCATACTCTGGTGCTAGCACGTATTTGTTTGCGTCTTACTGGACGTAGGAATTACGCTGCAAGGAAACTTCTTAGGGTCTTACATAATGATAGCCAAGCTAAGAATATATTTCAGGAGCAACTAGAAAAACATTTAGGCATCTGACGCACTGATAGATGCTCGAAAACTCATCCCATCTACCTCCAAACTTGGCGAACAGTGGTGGGTAGCGAAAGCATGAGATATAATAGGAAGCGGCAATAGGTAATATCAGAAAACTGTACAGACTTGTCAAGGAAACCGGTATTAGGAATCCAACTGTTAGCGAAACTATCTCCCAAAAAGATGGACATATTATTCATTCTCAATCCAGGAGAACTCTGTCTGTAGCTCTTCTAGAGTTCCTGTCGATAGCGAGCCCGGGTAAACGAGAAGGGTTGGGCATCGGGATATTTAGCTTACCCCATAAGACCAGTTGTACTGTTTGGTACGAAGATATGACTGGTCTAGGTAATTTTTCCATCAATCTCATAGTTGTTATCTGACGCTTAGAAAATATTAGTTGCAGCTTTCCCGTATTGAGCGTTCTGTGAAGCGTTCAGCATAATCGCATCATTAGCATTTCACTGGGTGTGTCACCCCTAAGTTATGGTCGCCTAAAAAAATTCTTTGCTTACCATGAACGTCCCCGAGCTACCATTTTCGTTTTGAGTATTACTCAACATATTCCTTACCCAACTGTATCCGGAGAACATACAGCCTTCCTTCGAGATACTGACAAACTCGGCGAATTCAAGATAGCTCTCAACAACAGCTTCCAGGCCTTACAGGATCTACTGAAAGAACAAACTAATATGAAGGACAACTGGAAAGGTATCAAGGAAGCATTAACTTTAACGTGTCAGGAGGTCCTGGGCCGAAAGAAGCATCATCATAAGGAATGGATCTCTATGGAAACCCTGCACAAAATTCAGGAAGACAGCAATTAACAACAGCCGAACAAAAACAGAGAAAGTCAGGGCACAAGATGAATACACCGAAGCAAACAAGCAAGTGAAGAAGAGCATTAGCGCCGACAAGAAGAAATACATGGAAGACCTAGCAGTGACAGCGTAAAAAGCTGCAAGAGAAGAATATATGAAACAACTATACGACGCTGTGGAGAAACTAGTATGAAGATATAATATCCAGAGAGGACGGTCAAGGACAAAGAAGGTAGGCCAATCACTGAAATTCAAGAACAGAGGAACAGATGGTTAGAGTATTTTGAAGAACTCTTGAATAGGCCAGCTCCATTTAATCCCTCGAACTTTGAAACAGCACACACAGACCTTCTTATAGATATCACTCTACCAACAACCGAAGAAATCAGGATAGCCACCGAGCAAATTAAGAGCGGGAAATCATCAGGACCTGACAATATACCAGCCGAAGCACTGAAGTCAGACGTCGACGTAACTACATACATGATTCACCTTCTATTCAAAAAGATTTGGGAGGAGGGACAAGTGCTGACGGACTGGAAAGAAGGACACCTCATCAAGACTCCAATGAAAGATCTGAGCAAGTGTGAAAACTACGGAGGTCTTACACTACTGTCAGTACCAGGGAAAGTCTTCAACAGAACGTTGCAGAACCAGATGAAAGATGCAGTAGACGCCCAACTTCGAGATCAACAAGCTGGATTCCTTAAGGATTGGTCGTGTACAGACCAAATTGCGACACTACGGATCATCGTTGAACAATCAATTGAATGGAATTCGTCACCAAACATTTGACACTGTGGATAGAAGAACCTTATGGAAACACCTTCGACAATACGGAGTTCCTGAGAAGATTGTCAACATTATCCGAAACTCATACGACGGACTACAGTGCAAAGTGGTGCATGGAGGACAGTTGATAGATGCATTTCAAGAAAGGAGCGGAGTCCGACAATGCTCCCTTCCTCTTCTGGTGGTCGACTGGATTGTGAAGACATCGACTTCTGAGGGAAAACACGGCATACAATGGACAGCTCAGAACCAATTAGACGATTTGGACTGCGCAGATGACCTAGCTCTCCCATCGCATACACACGGACAAATGCATATGTAAACAACTAGTGAGGCAGTAACCTCTGCATCAGTAGGCCTCAACATACACAAGGGGAAAACCAAGGTCCTCAAATGCAACACAGAGAACACCCAATCACAATTACTTGAGAAACCCTGGAAGATGTAGGATCCTTCACGTACATGGGAAGCATAATCGATGAACAAGGAGGATCTGATGTAGACGTATAAGCAAGGATTGGCAAATTAAGGGCCACATTCCTGAAACTTAAACCAACTGTCAACCAATGTCAAAGTCAGAATCTCCATTACGAACGTCAGGATATTTCTATTGTAAGGAGCTGAAATTTGGAGAACTACTTCAACTGTCATCAAAAACGTACAAGCATTTATAGACAGTTGTCTACGCAAGATCCTCAATATCCGTTTGCCAGATGCCATCAGCAACAGTCTACTGTGAGAGAGGACAAACCAACTTCCAGCTAAGGGGGAAATTAGGAAAAGACGTTGGAAGTGGATAGGAAATACATCACGGAAATCACCTAATTGCATCACGAGACAATCCTAACTTGTAATCCTGAAGGGAAGCGGAAAATAGGAAGGACAAAGAACACGTTACGTCGGGAAATAGAAGTAGATATTAAAAGGATGAATAACAACTGGAAAGAGCTGGAAAGGATTGCCCAGGACAGGGTTGGATGGCGTGCTGATGGGTGGCCTATGCTCCTCCACGAAGAGTAACAGGCGTAAGTAAGTAAGTCAATTCAGGAGATTGGATCGCTGGGGAGAACACTTTATGGATCAGTTCAACTGGTCTTCAGCCACACTTCGGTTCCCCACGATCTCCAGTCGACCTGGATGGTAAGTTTATGTAGGTCCTCCAACTCTTTACGAAGTTGAAAACGCTATAAGAAATCTGAAGCAAGGGAGGGCAGCAGGCCCTGACAGGTTTACTCCTGAGATTTTCAAGGATGGTGGTCCAGTATTAGCAATGAGATTAATCGAGGTCTTAGGTAGAATTTGGGAACTGGACGTAATCCCATCTGATTGGTCTCAATCACTGATTGTGCCAGTCTATAAGAAAGGACAAAAGTCTTCTTGTGACAATCATAGAGGAATCAGTTTGACTAATGTAGTGTCTAAAATACCAGCTTTAACAGTACTTTGACGCCTAACCGAGGCTCGTGAAGAGCAGACTAGAGAAAATCAGGCTGGTTTTCGACCTGGACGTGGTTGTATAGACCAGATATTCACACTACGTCAGGTTCTAGAACACAGACACACATTCAGAAGCCCCACAATGGTAGTATTTCCAGACCTCAAGGCAGCATCCAACTCTGTTGATCGTGAGGTTCTATGGCAGTGTTTGTCACTGAAAGGAGTACCAAAGAAGTACATTAACCTTGTAAAGGCTCTCTACTCGAATACAACTGGTCGAGCGAGGGCTTATGGCGAACTGTCATCAGAATTGATTACTTCAAGTGGTGTTCGTCAGGACTGTCCACTCTCCCCATTCTTGTTCAACTTTGTAGTTGATGTGCCTTTAAAGATAACACTCTCCTTATCTAAATCTTCAGGGGTTGAACTTCTACCGGGAGATCCACTTGTTGACTTGGAATATGCCGATGACATAGTTCTGTTTGGTGAAGACGCTGACAAAATGCAAAGTCTTCTGACCACTGTAAGCAACAATGCAAGCATGTTTGGGATGCGATTCTCCCCCTCGAAATGCAAAATGTTGCTTCAGGTTTGGGTTCCATCGACACCCGAACTAATGATAGGGAGTGAAGTAGTTGAGCGTGTCGACTGTTTCACTTATCTTGGGAGTCTCATCAGCCTTTGTGGTCTGGTGTGTGACGGAATCTCAGAACGAATTTATTTATTTATTTGAACACATAAATATTGGTACAAGAGAGCGCCAATATATATGCGCCACACAAAACAATGAGAACTCGAAGAGAAATAGAAAAAAAAAAGAGAACAATAACGAAGAGATTGGTGTAAGGTAGTGTGGTAGTAATAAGGGAACGCAAAGGTACAATCAGAAATCTTTCAGTTAAGGGAGACACAACCACTTTTTATGAAGAAAGTAAAAGAAGATTACAGTAGGATCGCCACTGGCTTCAATTCTGAGCCATATCTGATAACGTCTCTAGCCACTGTGTTGCACCATCTCTCAGACCCCAACCAGGGAGTCGTGAAGGACCGACAGAAGACAGTCCTTTGCAGCTTCCTTTCATACCACGACACCATGTCATACACTGACCACCTCTCCGCTTCTTCCAACCAGTCCCAGAGTCGGCAAATAATGCACGACGTGGAATTCTCTGGGACGACATTCGGAGAACATGTCCAAGCCACCGAAGTCGGTGTTTCAAGATGGTGACACCAATTGAATTATCATCTCTGTGCCCGAACACACGATGCCGAACCTCTGCATTACTGACATGGTGCAGAGGTGAAGTAGTTAAGCGTGTCGACTGCTTCACTTATCTTGGGAGTCTCATCAGCCTTTGTGGTCTGGTGTGTGACGGAATCTCAGCACGGATACAGAGAGCTCGACTAGCTTTTGCCAACTTGCGTCATTTATGGCGTAGGCGAGATATCCGTCTATCAACCAAAGGACGCGTTTACTGTGCAGCAGTTCGTTCCGTCCTACTTTATGGCAGTGAAACATGGCGGGTAAGAGTAGAGGATATTCGTAGGTTACAAGTATTCGATCACAGATGTCTCCGAAACATTGCTCGTATATCCTGGGACCATCGAGTAAGTAACTCAGTTGTTAGGAAACGGGTACTAGGTAAGGATGGCAAATCAATTGATGACGTAGTGAAACTTCATCAGTTGAGATGGCTGGGACACGTGTTACGTATGCCCAACCAACGACTGCCTCGACGTGCGATGTTTTGTTGTATAGGAGTATGTTGGAAGAAAGCTAGGGGCGGCCAGACCAAATCATGGCACAAATCCATGAAGTCACTGACAAGTGGACTGAGCCATGTTGGTAGGTGTAGACTACCTGGTTGGGGACCACAAGATGATAGCAACCGATGGTTAGAGACCCAGAATGACATGGCTCAAAATCGTTTGCAATGGCGCAGGTGCATCCACTGTTTGTGTTCTCCCAAATTCTAGTCTGAATTCTTCATGTCCTTTATTTTCTTTCCAAATTTATTTCACTGGATTATACTCCTTGAATAAAATCTTCAAACCCTAATCTTTCCGATTAGTGCTTATACTCTTACTACCTCTACCACTAGGGGATTTGAATCGATAACTGCATCTCTGTGCTATTGTAGTATGGCAACTCGAACTGATGTACGTACGTACGAAGTTCTACGTTGTTGCTGACTGACTGATTGGAAATCATTGGCGGGCGGCCAATGCCACAGGGTGAGACCAATTGTAAACGAATGAAACAATTAGCTACACTTTCGTTTGAATACGGAGAACAGATAACAACTGACTCATGAGTTCAATCTGTGAAAATTTCTAAAAATCTCCACAAAACACATTCTGATAATAGGAATACAGATATTAGGGTATATATTAAAGGATGAAGTAAGAGGACAAGGCGTTGGATTATAACACAATGTTGAAAACTTAAGAAAACTGTGGGCATTTGGGCTGGTTTTAGAGAAAATTTCCTTTAATATACCAGCAGCCGTTTATATTGTATGGATGACAACCCAGGACTGCCTTAAATTCCCGAAGGAGTACCTAGTCAAACGATATCAAGTTGCTCTGGATATCAGAGATGCAAATCGTGGACAAAAATCGGTAATTTAAATCAAAATTGTATGTTTTCTCCGGCGAAGCATTAGTCAAGGAAAATGTTTAAACTGCGTTTACTTGATAAGGTAACTAACGAAACAACCAATTTTATTACTATAATAGGCAAAAGCGGTTATCAGATTGAATCTTACGATTGTCTGATTCCTTAGTTTAAATTTATTGAGACTCCCAAAAACGATCTTAGTGAGTCGATAATCGCTTTTGAAGAACCATCACTTAGCAAACTTGAAAAAATAAAGCGTACGAGAACTTACCATAACATTGTCCTTGTAAGACAAGCTGGGTGAAAGACCAACGAATTCCACTTAGGAATGACGCTGCGAGAACAAGAAGGAATCCAATGTAATTGAACTGTGTAGACTCATATGAAAACATAAAAAGCCCACAGGTAATCAGAACGACAATGATGGCTAAGGATGGTTGCTAAAAGTTTATTTGAATCACACCAACCTACCTTTTTCTCCTGTTTTAATAAAACAGAAAACATCACAATAAAAATGACGCTGGTAGATTTTGTCATTGTGTACCTGAGTTTTTAAGATTATCGTTTGCAAAAGAACATACAATGATACTGTAATGAACTCAAAACTCCAATTTGAACAACCAATATCTAGGGCACTTGTTAACAAAATATTTACAAGCCTTTAAATTGTACCTAGAGATCCCAGAGACAGCAACAACCCTCACATACTTCGCCCACGGAAGCTCTATTCTTGGACAGTTATACAACCACGATAGTGAACACCTTACGAACCATGACAATAAGAATTTAATGATCATGTGCAGTAAAGTGATTGAGAGTGGATATGGGAACACCTAACTTTTAAAATTATTCGATGAAATTTCGCACTTTTATACAACGGCTGTTGAAAAATGTAAGGCATATTGAGAAACAATAGAACATAAACACTGTGCAAAGAGTTTTCAGTGGGTTAGGCATGATGGAACGTGTATGATTGCTAAAAATTAATATTTGACTGGTAATTTTTAGAAGTTTCAGCTACTTGAAAGATTTTAGGTCGTGGTGTTAGAAGAATTGTAAGAAAACTGTTTGATAGGTAAACGGTCAGCAACTGAAGTGGTCTTATGATCACAGGTAAACAATCTACAAGGAAGTAAACAACAGAACTAGCAAGGGTTGAACGTCAATAAGACTGTTTGGATTTGCTTACACTCAAAACCCAAACTGGGAATCATACAAGGCAACGCTTCAGGGGTATCGTCCACCCATAAAGGTTGCGAGCACTTGAAGGTCAAACTGTCGCAAGATGACTGGTGCATCACATCGACAATTCGCGAAAATTTTCAGAAGCGGTCAAATCAAGACATTTTTAGAATTGAGAAGCATTTAAAAGTAGCGGCAAAGATTAACCGGTCGACATGGACGTGTCCTAGTTGAGGTATATCACATGTTGTCATGCAAACTGTACACCATGCACTTTTCTATCCTCTCTAAAGTTGAAGGGGGGGCATTCAAAGAATCATTTGTAATATGCTGCACAACTTATGCCAAGAAGTTACACGATTTGACAATTTTTTTCCTGCTATATGTTCAGCTGCGTTATGTTACATGTGTGAAGTTAACTTGTTAACGATACCTTATATGTCCAGAGTTGACAACGCTTCTGTCTGCAACATCTTTTTAATCGAAGGATGCCAACTCAGTCAGATCATAAGTCAGGAATTAATGAGTTATGAGATATATTTAGATGGTCGTCGAAATGTTGAGAGGCATTCGGTTTAATCTAGTTAGTAGTTGCAATAGATGTGTAACACGGTGTACCCATTCGTCATCTGGTGCGGATGCACGACTGAGTGCCTTCATCTGGGCTGTATCCAGTTTCACTAACGAAGTGTGCTAGTTTGTCTTAATGATAAACTGAAAATGATCACTACTGTAGTTTGTAGGCACGTCTTACGTTCCTAAATTTGTTTAAAAATTTTTGAAAACGTATATAATTGTTTTAATTTTATGTTGTATCCATATTAGACCAAGTCATCCATCAAGGGAGACAGTCTAGCCAAGTGAACTTAGTTTAACCATAGCCTAGATTATTGACTTAATGATAAAACTGGGCACACGGCATTAAGGACATGATAATACAAAATGTTTTTTTTTGAATTATTGTTCTTCTATCGCCATTACGACGACCCATTTTAGATCAGTTTCACATTCTGAATGAATAGTTTACATTAATTTTCAGTACAACTAACAGCTTTGTCAGCCATATCACTATGGAACTATAAAAGATTAAGAATTGCAAGTAACATGCAGTTGGCGCAAAAAGCTTAAAGAACGTAATAAAAATATTAGTAGCAGGCCTAAAAATCATTATTTTGCATTTTTAAAACCTTTTTTATTTGCTTTTAGGTATATTAACATGTCATACGCAAAAAAAACATAAGAAAGTAATCGCACAGACTGGAAAGTAGTAAAATCTGCTGTAGCCAATAACTTAATATCTCAGTAATCTTTTAAGCAATTTACTTACGTCGACAACAAAAGTTGTCGTTGGTAATCTTGGTGTGTAATATGGTGCCTGAGACTAATATGAAAAACAAAAGGTAAGGTTTGACTGTTTAAGTTCTCAAGACGAGTTTATTTAAGAAAAATGCTGTTCGTACGGTTAGGAGCTTGCACATTGTTAAGCAGAAACCTTCTGTTGTAGAAACAACAATTTACGTGACAGTTTCTCACTTGCTTGTGGTTAGCAAAAGGATTAGGAAATAGACTAATTGCTTTGTACTTAGAAGCTTTTTATACCTAACCTGCTGATGTAAGAAGATGAGAATCATAATTTTCAAACCTAATCTTCATGTCAGATACGTCTTCCATAAGCTTTAGATTCACAATCTTTTATCTACCATGCCTAGTGTCACACACCGGACAAACGTATGGCAAACGAAGTTTTGATAAGAATATGATAGTTTTTACATTATGCCTTGCCAGATTACATTGCATTTGGTACCTCGTAAGTTGTAATAGCAGTTTTTTAAATACCGATGCGCATATATTTTACTTTCTTCTTGCAACAGTGTGCTCTGTTATTCACGTTTATTACTTCTCTCAGATGAACTGACGTATTATGTGAAGTGACTCAACAGGAACAAATAAAATGTGCCAACTTACTACCATCTGAATAAACGTAATTAAGAACAGCTAAATCATTCCGGTTTTAGTTGTTTTAATTAAGCCTAGTATTATGGTGCGTGCTACTTATATTGATATGAGTAGTGTATGACGCAAATCAGGAATATAATGTCTGGCAGCAGAAGATGGGGAAGATCAGGAAAGGAGGAGCGGGAATACAAAAGAAATTTGTATGGAAATGCAAGAACAACGAAGTTCGAGACAATTATTGAAAGTTTTGCAAATTAATTAGTATAGTATGGTTTTTCTATTTTACCAAGTAACTCTGTAATTTTGTGCTAAATATAATTCAGTTGTCCTCACCTGTGTTCTCCTTCACTACAGTATGTTGGAGAACCACTTTGTGGTTAAACTTTTTTGTTAATTGTAGATAAACTACCTAACTTCACTAGGCTTCACAGTACAAAGAGTAATGTATCCTACTAAGTACTGATACAGCAGTATGTCTAACAAAAACCAGCATATAACCTTAAGAATAAAACTACTGCAACTTGTGGCGTCAGGCATACTGACGTGTACACATAAAAAGCGTGGTTTAATGATATATTGTAAAGTATTTTCAAACATGTTTCAACAAACAAGAAAAAATCTTATGCAACAAGATAATGGCGATTTTCCGATAATTTGAAAGTACACATTATTTTTGAACAAAACTTCTTTGCTAACCCAGTTTCACTTTGATTACAACCACTGAAAGTGTAGTAACCTGATTGTCCTTGTAGTTAACAGGTCGATCAGTTTAAAATCGTGTAGTGAGTGCAATTTAAAATTTGTTTTTTTTTAAGCCCAAGAAGCCGGGACCTAATAGATTTGGTATTAGTCACCTTGATTTGTAGTTGTAAACGTGCAGTCTGGCTAAATTAGACTGACCTTAAACCCAAGTATTGCGAAAATAAGTTTACAATAGTGGTGACAGTTTAATTTGACACACTTAACCACGGTAAATCAACCACCGTTCAAGCCTGCTGAAGTACGCTTGAGCATGAACTAGAACACACGTTAGCGCTCCACAAAAGGCCATTATAAGATAGATTCTACAGTCCACTTAAAACTGACAAAGCCAGGTGGCTAAAGCACTTTAGTGGGTACCCCTCGCTCTATTGGTAGAAGAGACCAGACTAGCGGTTAATGAGTGTATATTCTGTTCGTCAAAAATAACAGTCGGACCCTTAGATTATCATTTAAAAACACACGATGTTTTCCGATATTCATTATAAAATAACAGATAATATAATACCTATCAAAAAAAAAGATGTGAATAAATACTTGATTTAAACATTTTTGACATTACTAAGATGTTTTTGGTCAACCCTCAACCAAATTACCTAAGTCGTCACAGTATCTCAATGCTGTGCAGTTTACTACAACTCCCCAGGATTATCTTACGAGTTCGAGTGATTCCAGGCATATTTGGTTTATTTGACCATAACCTTTTAGGTAAGCTGGACATCCTTTTCAATTGCGAAGAATAAAACACCACATTAATTGTTTGATAGTCTTATTTCAGCATTTTGACGCATAGAAGTAGTAGACTCTAAAGGATTGAAACAAACCCATGAAAAGCGGCAGTCGTGAAAAGTAGTCAAAGAATCATCCCAACATTTGAGAGTGCGGTTTACTGGTATAACCAGAAATAACAACAAGGTTTGTATATCACGACACCATGTAAACCCAAATTTTGCGACGCTGAATTTATTGTTTTACGTTCGAAAGATGAAAATCTGAAATACAGTCAATCCCTACATGATAGAAAATGATGTACGATATAATCAAGCTCACATGAACATAATAGGCCAAACATGTGGTGAAAAGAAGCAACTACTGGTCATTCCAAACATCAGTAGCACCCAAAAATGGCAAAATCGATGGAGTAATACTCAGTACGAAGCACAACATACAAAATATCATGAAGTGACGCAAAAATTGACCCTCATCCCACCATCAGTGGACGGATCTGATTGGTTGTCAAGGTCACTGGCACAAAAAATGTGATAAATTTCGACTCAACGTGGCCAACTTTTTAACAGCCGAAATCTAATGTCTTCATCACGAGCGCATATGAACTGATTAACTCACCCATACTTCTCGTTGTTTCACTGCACTTCCAGGTATTTGATAATGTGGAGCGGTTGATAGTCTAACAACCCGACTTCACTAATTCTAATCACCTTGGTAGTTATTTGTGGATTCCCATATCAGCAAGCTCAAACGAGCGTGTTTGTCTCTTTTGAGTAAGGTTTCTGTATACCGGTAGCTATCACACTAGGAGACTGGTTATTCGCAAATGCATATAGTAGTGAAGTGATTGTTTCAAGAAAAACTAATCATTACACTCAACTGATGATATGTAAGAGGATGGAATTGAAAGAATGAGAGGGGAGACGGAGATGAAGCTATCCACTGAAAGAGTTGTGGTTGTTTCTGATGGGATAGAATTCCGATTGTGGCAAATCCTAATGAGAAAAAGTGATAGCGTACCTGAGTTCTTACCTTCCGATATGTGGTTCGGTCGATGTAAATTTATGTGCTTGTGGGAAAGAATGCTATGATTTATAACCATGTCGTTGAAAGCACATAGACCTACCAATCTCTCGAATGTAGCACCCCTTCCTCTCATTATATTTTGCGATGTGATTCCTTCATACCCGGTATCATAGAATGGTACAATCTATCGTGATAACTGGTTGATTCGTCTCTTCTGTTGACCGGCTAGTTTGAACAATCCCACGTGAAATAACAGCATACATTGGTTAGAATAGATAGGAAGTGTATAGAGTAGAACTGTAGTGTTATTGGTTTCTAACCACACGACTCTCGGAGCTGGACATATAATTACTGAAAAGATTGGCACCCAACACGTAACGCTTGAAGGAAGTTAGTAATAGGCGGCCTGCTTGAATATCTGGGCTACCTGTTTCTGCCATCTGACTATTTCAACAAGTTATCAGTTTTTATTTGTTTTAATTTATAATTATGTCCATTAATCGCATAACCTATTCAGGCGCTTTTATGAAAAGCCTACGACCTTTCGCTGCACAAGTTAAGAAAAAGTACTATAAAAGGCATCTTGGTGGTTGGAAATATGCGTTAAAGAGAATGAACATTAATCGTACGTCGATTCCCGAGCTTCTTAATTCTAACTGCCGATCATTAATCAACAAAGTGGACTATCTGCAATTCCTGCTTAGTCAAAATACGTATCGTAATTGTGGTGTCATCACAATTCAAGAATCTTGGTTGAATGATTTACACGATGACTGCCTTGTATCACTACATGATTTCAAAATTTATCGTCAGGATCGATCGAACAATAAAAAAAGGTGTGGTGGCGGTGTAGCTACGTTTGTAAACATAAACTGGTGTCAATCTTCGTCTGTGTGTTTTAAGTTTTCAAATGACTTTATCGACTGTCTAACTCTAAGATGTCGTCCAAAACATCTGAATAAATACAAATATGTTTATGTTACCAATATCTACGTGAC